TATTCTTACTTTTCATGCACTGAATTGATAGACAAAAAAAAATTATTGAACAATTTACCCTACCACGTGTCATACTTTGCACAATTATATTCCCTTTTAGTGGGCAATAATAATAATAATATTGATAATAATGTTGATAGTTATAATAATATTTAAAATAGTACTCATATTGATAATAATAATTATAATAATAATAACAATAATGATAACAAAAGTAATAAATCATGTTTTGACTTTGATTGTACTTTTAATCTAATTTGATTTGAATCTTTTAGATCTGATCCGATATGAATTTTTTGGATCCGATTCGATCTAATCTGGATAAAATAAGAATATGATGAACAAAACAACTTCTAAGAAAAAGATGTCAAACCTTTGTGATCAAAAGAGGTTAATAACTAAGGGGTAATATTTATTTTTGAAGTAATCACTTTCGCTGTTTCGCGATCTCAGTCGAGATCTTGCTGAGTATTCGTTATTTCATTTATAAAAACTTACATAAAATTATATTTTTTAGAAGAAACGCGTAAGGTAACACATACTACGTATGTTTATATTATATAAAGCAATTGGGTGGCCAATTGATTTTATAATTTTCACGCCTAAAGGAATTGGGGTGACCACTTGATTTTGCAATTTTGCAATTGAGTTGTTTGGTTCATCCAAGCACACTTAATTCAATTAAATGTCATTTATTATTCATACGGCTATGTCTTTTATATTATATACACACGTGTCGGATCCAAATAATCATTAGTTGTATTATAATAGTAACATATACTACCTTTGTCCGTTGAAGGGTTCTCATTGCAAAATGTCCCGATTATTTAGACAATAATTAAATATGATAATTGAATGATATTTTGAAAAATAAATTTGATAGGTGTATAATATAATGAGGTTAATGGTGATAACTATCATATTATAAATGCATTATTTATAATATCTCATGATTAAGTTGTAATTTAAGAGTGTTAATATAGAAATGAGAACTTTATATAGGACGTACAGAAAAGGAAAGAGTGGGAACCTTTATATATGGGACAAAGGGAATACTTTGTATATACTACGAATAGCAAATCAGTTTGACTACTTAATTGCACAAATGTCACTATGACATTGGAGATAACAATTGGTTTTACAATTTTGCAATAGAGTTGTTTGACCCATCCAGACACACAATTAAAGTCATTTATTATTCATACGACCATATATAGTACATCGGTTCTTAAATAATTGCAACATTATAAATTTCACTATTTGCGTGTTCTACTACGACATAACAATTAATGTTGCAATTTTGCAATGGAGTTGTTTGGCCCATCTAGACACACATTTAAAAGTAATTTATTAATCATACGACCATATATAATACCTCCGTTCTTATGACTAATAAGATGACCATATTTTGCAACATTAGAAATTTTACCCTATTCACATGCTCTACTATGATTACGTTTTATTTGTTAATGTATTAATAATTTCTTTTAAAAAATACCATTTATAATTAAAATCCTCTCATTCTAAATTTTCAAAAGTGGTTTTTATTGTTTAATCAGTTTTTTATATAAAGTAATAAATTGTAATGTTTTTCTTCATCACATGATCATTGATCGGTTTAATAACATTTCAAGTTTGGAATAAGTTTGTAAGAAAATAACCAATCAACCCATTTTTTTATCTCATTAATGTGTATTGAGTATTCTCGTGCAATGCACGAGTTCATCATCTAGTATAATAAAGAACAAAAAATAAATTAGAACATTAAATGGAAATAGGACCCATCACTTGCATAGAACAATTAAAAATTGAATGTTGGAAACTAAAAAGTTGGAGCTAAAGGAGGTAGGAGGAATTAGATTTAATGATGGAAGATGGTACAATGACTAAAATAAGTTGTACAAGTGGATCATGCTTAAGTGTTGCACTAACATTTTTATCATTCCTAAAACGCTTATAAGTTTTGGAGATACATATGATTCATATTTTGTGAATCTTAAAGAATGTAGTGGCTCTAGCTTACAAAATCTAATGTGGGTCCAGGCCGAATCAGACCAGACCAGTTCAGATCAGACCATACCAGATCAGACTAGCAAATTATAGTCCAAGTGAAAACATCCTAACATGATCATGAAGTCCTAAAGTACTACGCGTACAAAATTAATTAATACGAGTAACACATTTAAGTAGGGGTAGGCATGACCCGGTGCAGTCCAATATTTTTCGTACCGTGATTATTGAAACAATTCGATTCGATTCAGTCTTAGACCTAAACTCATTCCGTTCGGTTCCATTTTCAAACGGGATGGTACCATGTCAATGATGTCATACCAATACCAAACAATGGCATTTTTTCCAAGTATTTAAGGGGAAATTAAAGTTTAGTCATCCTCCAAAAGTCCACAAAATTTTTCAATTTTCATATTACATACTTTCTTCGTTCTTTTTTAGTTGCAACATTCCCTTTTTCACGTTTGCCAACGCACAACTTTTACCGTCATTATATCTAATTCCATATTACTAGTAGTAAAAATAAAAATAAAAATCAGATTATAAAACTTATTAATGAGACGAATTTAACAATATTAAAAAAACAATAATTCACATACATTATTAAATAAAATGAAGTCAAAGTAAAGTACATGAACAGTGTATATATTCCGATGTTGCAACTAATGCGATACGGAGGATAACATTTAATAAATTTTAAATAAACTATAGTAGTACAAATTTAAATAATTAAACCATACTTCAGTCCAGTCTCAGGTTTCCAACGAACTAGCAAAGACTCTGAAAGTGAAAAGACACTCATCAAAATAATGATATACATGTGCATTTAAATAATTAAATCACACTTCGGTCCGATACCGGTTCTCATTTCATGAAAACCGTTCATGACATTGTTTGACAAAAGTACATTCCAATTTGGGACAAAGATTTTGAGATCCGTTTGAAATCATTTTTTTTGTTAGGTACCATATTGATCCTGTTTGGTTCTATATCGATCCAGTCCTGTACCATACCGCAAATTATACCATGGGATCGGCCCACCATGCGCATGGTGTGCCGATCCCAAAACGGCATCATATTAATTAAAACGGCAAGTTGATGGGGACGAACGTTCCCACCCCTTGACAGGAAGCCAAGATCCTGGCAAGACACAAGAGGCAAGCTCATGGGGACTAGGGGTGGGCGCAAAATACAGTAACCGTCTAACCGTTTAAAAAAACCGAATAACCGTTGTTTTTCCGGTTAACCGTACCGTTTTTTTAGAAAAGTCACGGTACAGTTAACCGGTTAAATAAAATTATGTTTGACGGCCGGTTAACCGATTTAAAGTTAATGAGCATGGGTTTACCGAAGTTCAACTATCTAGCTACCCTAGCCGCTCCACCGGCCAGAGAAAACGACTTTTCTTCTTCAATCTTTTTCCACCGATCTGATCTATTCGGGGAGGGGAGGAATCACGTTCAAGTAGAACGGGCTATTGATTGGATTTGGAAAAGTGAGCATGTTCTTTTTTCTAAATAAGGATTGAGATGTTTTTCTTTCTCTCTTACAAAAGTTGTGCTTTCTCCTTCAATTTTTCAGAGACTTTCTTCTCTTACTTTATTTATTTAAACCGTTTTTCAAAAGGGTCATATTTATATATAACTAGTTATGGGTAAACTTTACTCTGTAATTCATAAAAATTGCTTAAACATAGATACACATAGATTGTGATCTAATGCCCGTTCCTCGATAACCTTATATTGTACTACGTAGTTGACTCAAGTGATTAAGGCCCTAAATGAAAATTAAAACCTGCCATCATTTAATTAAGACAAAAGGATGTGGATTTCAGAAAATATTTGATTAAAGAAATGACAAACGGCATTATAACTATAGGAATTAGTTGTTTTTATGCATTTGTAGTTCTAACATGCTGCGGTGTTGCTACAATATTTTTTTTGCAATAGTATTTGATGTGTCAATTTTTATGGTTTATGATTTGTGGTTAACCGAGTGAAGTTTTGGTAACCGAGTATCGGTTAACCGAAGCTTTGGTTAACCGAGTACTCGGTTAATCGAAGTAACCGGTTTCTCGGTTAACCGGAAAGTTGGTTAACCGAAATCCGGTTAACCAATCATGCTCACCCCTAAATTGGGGACGAACGTCCCCATGCCTTGGCAGGAAGCCAAGATCCTGGCGGGAGGCAGGAAGCATGCTCATGGGGACAAACGTCTCCACTCCTTAGCAGGAAGCCAAGATCCTGGCGGGAAGCAGGAGACAACTCATGGGGAAGAACGTCTCCACTCATACTGTTCAAGCGATTTTTTTTAAAAAAATATGCAAAACTACATCGTTTTGAAGGTGGAGCATGATGCTTACCGTGTGATGATCCCACGGTATACGAACCGGTATCATACATGGATAGTATTTTTGTCCATCCCTAATTTAAGTTTTTGTTTTGCTTTTGCATATGGATGGACTCGGGTCCGGGCCGGGGCCGGGTCGGGCCTAGGCCCGGCCCGGCCGGCGGTTCAGAAGTGGTGGACCCGGGACCGGCTCGGGTAACCACCGGGTCCGGGTCGGGCCCATTATCAAGTTTTTTTCCCTCTTCCTAATTAACCCCCCTCCCACCCCCAACCCCCCAAACCACCCCAAATGGCCCAAAATACCCAGCTCAACCCGAAAATTTAAAAAAATTGAAAAAAAATAGTTTTGGCCCGGCCGGGTCGGGCCTTGTTTTGGGTGACCCGAGCCCGGACCAGAAATCCCACGGGCCGGGCCTACCCGGATCGGTCACTGACCGGGCCATCGGGTCGGGCCGGGCTGGAACAGTGCCGGTCCCGGGCTGGTTCCGGGTCGGGCCACCCGGCCCGAGTCCATCCATACTTTTGCAATTAATTTAATATTGCATCGCGACTTTTTCGGATATTGCCAACTAACCCCCTAAATCGTGACAGCGGTCGCACTTTACAAGCTCCAACCACTACACCAAAACGTTATCCGAGCCTGGGCGTTTAGTCTCCCAACCGAATCTTCCGATGCGTTTACGCCACCTTCTCTCTCTTAGGGTTTCACTATAGCAGAGGTGTACTACTGCTTATTTCAGTTCCCGGAATTCTTCAAAATCAGTTTTGGCTTCTTCTCGCATTTAAACGGAAAATCTCACCATTCGCGGTTGCATTTGTGGACAAGGAAACTCGTTTTTCGATTAGGTCTATGCTCCGTTTTGGTCACTGGTCGGGCAAATCCGTGAGATGTTATCAGTGATGAGGAGCAAAGCGTTCGATTCAAATCGCAGAAGCGACTCCATTCGTGTTACGGATCTTAGGGCATCACTTCCCCCCAGCTCGGGCTCTGGAAATGAGGCGGCGAGCTCGATCTCAACTGATTCCGGGGATCCCCAGGCTTATAAGATCGTCGAGAATGATAGAGGTATGGATTTGGATAGAGGTGTTTGTTTATCTAGTAATAATTCAGCAGAAGCTAGGGTTCGGGATCCGCACACTGATTCCAAAGAGGGCAGTGTTCATAAGTTTATGACAATAAAAAATGAACGTAGAGACTTGAATGCGGAATTGAAGAATTCAGGCTCCTTGGTTCCCGTTAACATGGAATATGACATGATGCTTTCCAAGTTTGATGATTTTGCGGCAAGTGGGAAGCCATGGGCTGTTGGTTGGGGTTATGAAATGGGGGACATGGTTTGGGGGAAGGTAAAGTCTCACCCGTGGTGGCCAGGCCACATTTTCCATGAGGCATTTGCAACCACTTCAGTGCAACGAAGCAAGAGGGATGGCCATATATTAGTTGCCTTCTTTGGTGATAGTAGCTATGGTTGGTTTGAACCATCAGAGCTTGTGCCTTTTGACTCTAATTTTCATGATAAATCTCAACAAACAAATTTAAGATCTTTTACCAAGGCTGTGGATGAAGCCATTGATGAGTTGAGCCGCAGGTGTGCTCTAGGATTGGTCTGTAGTTGCAGACCGGTCTACAATTTCCGACCTATATCCGCTGAAGGGTTTTTTGAAGTTGATTTTAATGAAAATGAGAAAAATTTCATTTATTCTGCCAGCCAGATTAAAAAATCCAGGGAAAGTTTTAATCCCAGGGAAACTCTTGCTTTTACCAAGAAGATGGCTTTGACACCTATGAGTGGAGACTGCGGGAATATAACCATTATAAAAAACAAGGCTACTGCTTTAGCTTATAGAAAGGCAGTGTTTGCACCTGATGACCCTACATATGCTGAAGCTTTTGGTGCTCATGTAACTAAAAACCTTCAACATATACAGCGTGTGACTCAACCATCAAAAGTGCCACAGAGAGGTAGCTATTCTGTACTGAATGTTTTTTACATTGTTATTCTAAAGCATTAGTTAGTAACATAGTTTTGCGATGTATATCAGTATATGCATTCAAAATTGATTTCAAGCTACTCCCTCAGACCCTCCATCCCATTTTATGTGTTTTGGTTTGACACAATTATCAATGAAGTGATTGAAAAGTAAAAGTTATGGTTGTGGTTTGAGTAGAATAAAATTAAATGATATGAACTATATATTTCTTTCCAAAAAGGGAAACTTTACATTTTTTTTAGGACAGCCGAAAAAGTAAAGCAATATACATAATTTGGGACAGAGGGAGTACTTCCTTAGTTCCTTTCCAATCTTTTATCTTTATGCAAACAGTGTGACCCGTTACGTCATTACATGTTTATGCCAAATGTGCTTGTATATTAAATCTAAAGTAAACTCAACTGCTGAAGTATTCCATAATTAGCAGAATGTGATAGTAATGTACATGCACTATCTCTCTCTATGTATGACCATAGATTGAGAATCTAGAGCTGGTTAGTAAAGAGGTTACACTTGCTTTTGTCATGCCTGTGGGTTTTATTGGTGGGTGGTGACATAAAGTATGATATTACTTTAATGCAGATGATCTTTCTTTCACCTATTGTTTAGTATGAAAAGTTTATCTAATTTCCTCTTGAAGTTATTTGATAACTTCCAAAAAATGATGCCCTTCTTAGGAATTTTGGTTCTACTATCATGGAGATTGAACCTCAGTCGTTATTTACTTATCTGGTGATGAATGATTGGCTGGCAATCGGTTAAATACAAAAGTCTGCTCATCAAGAATATTAAACACCTTGGGTTCTAGGTTCTAGGCTCTAACGTCCGCGGTCATATTGCACAATGCAACAACTGAACAGCATTATTTTACAATGCATTCCTGATACAGTAATCATTGAATAGTCAATTAGTCATTAAATACAATGTATTTTGTCAAGCTCCAATACAATATTAGTTACTTATGGGAAAAACTCAAGTCATTGTTAAAGTTTTAGTCTGAATTAGTTTAACCTGAATATCTATGTGATGCATCTCAGTTAAAACATTATGTGACTTTTGATCTTTCAATACCAGAGTAGAGAGGATTTCCATGTATCCTTGAAATAACTCAAACTGTGCCCATATTGTGTAGGAATTGAGGTTGGTTACAACTTACAACTATTATGTTATTTCAATGGGTGGGTTTGGAGCAATTTCTAATGATGTTTATGGAGAGCAATTTCAATCTGCATGTGGCTCACGCACAAGTGGGCTGAAGCTCCCTTGTGTGTGAGCGATTTTGTGTGTGGCTGCGGATATACAGATATGGTGAAAGTATATCAGTATATGTCTGGTTTGTAGAGATGTGTGTATATTGTGCACATGTCTGGTTTGCAAATATGTGATGGTTGAATTATTGAATGAGATTACTAAAATAAACAACTTATAAGTAATTTATTTCGTACGGCAGACTTGTGCACAATTGGTGTTTTCGCAAAGCCAGACTCCGTGAAAGTGTACTGCCACAAGCCTTCCCTTGTCATTTTGACAAGAAACCACTCCTGAGACTTAAACAAGTGACCTCTCGGTTACACATCAACACCTTAACCGGTGTGCCAAGCTCTCCTAGTTTATAATAATTTATTTAAAGCTAGAAAGTTCACCATGTTGTTTGTGACTACAGACGTACACATATGTCTGTGTGCCAAGCTCTCCTTGTTTATAATAATTTATTTAAAGCTAGAAAGTTCACCAATTGAGAGTACTATTAATACTATGGAGTCGTAATCAACTAAAGTTTAGAAAGTTCACTATTGTGATTAGTGATGTACAGTGGTGGAAGTACTTGACAAGATCACTATATGAAGAACAATTGAAGACTATTTTTTTAAAGTTAATAATATACAAAGAAGTCTTGTTTGCAAAATGATGTGGTAGTTTTAATATTCAATGAGATCACTTTTAAGATTACACGGAGTTCTAATTGATTAAACTTTAGAAGATTCACCATGTTGCGTGTGAATACTGATATTCTTGTTGCTTGGTCCAGGAACTAAATTAATGAGAGGTATAGTCATGAGGTTAAATTTTAATAGGTGAGAAATCTGATTATCCATGACATTATGGACTGACCTCTGCTCTAGCTGAAGCCAATCACTAGTGTATTTGGCTACACTCCCTTTAGTTTTAGGAAAAGGTCCAAATAGACCCTTCTAGGCTTCTACTATTCCCAATCAATCACCCTTCCAGCCTCTTAACCCGTTTTTAATCAGTTATAGCAAGTTGTTTTAGAAATAAATAAAAATAAAATTGAAAATTATTGAAAAAACAGAAAAGAACAATAAATAATTTGGGAATATCAAAATTGATATTTTTTGGCATTTTTTTTTCTTTGTATATTATACATTTTTAAAGTTTTTGCAAATTAATTTTTTATTTTTACGTTTTCATTTATCTTTATATTTTTATTTTAACATTTTAAAGTACTTATATATTTTTAAATTTCTGTTTAAGCGAAATTTTATAAATCTACCAATTTATCAATTTTCTTATTTTATTTTTAAAAAAATGAATGCAATAGCAGGTCAAGATGTCTAGATTGAATGTCTTTTCAAAGTACACATGCTTATATGATACTTTTTTAGTAGAGGGACAAAAGTGACAGATTTGAAATAGTAGGGCCTATTTGAATATTTTCTGTGTGTTTTTATTAGTCGTGCCTATAGGTTATTGATGGTTCTTAAGAGTAATGTAGGAGGGGTGGTGAATAATGCATAAAAAGTGAAAAAGTAGGGGATGAAAAGTAGAAAAGATAAGATGAAAAAGTAAAATAAAAGTTGTAAAAAATGGAAATCGAGCAAGTATTGATAAACATCCCAAGAAAGAACACCAAGCAATAGATTAAACCTTGAAGGAGAGTACACGGCTACCACTTTTCTACTCCCTCTGTTGCACTAAACTTTGCCAACTTTCTTAGCTAGTTGTACAAAAATGTCACCTTCCCTTTAAAGCAATTAGTTTGTGGTTAATAGTATCTCTCTTTGACACACGAATCAGCTACATAGGTTTAATTTTTTTTCATGTGCCTGTTAAAGTTGGCAAAGATGTAAAGGATGGAGAGACTGAAAAAGTTTATATTTTTAAAAGGTTTTATTATTCAATAATTGTGTGTTACTAAAGCTGGAAGTTTCTTATTGTCATATTATGCTGACCATCTTATGGAACTATTTGTTCTCCCTATCATCAGTGAGTTTTATGTAGTGGGTTTGCTTAAGACTTGTGCCCAAATTGGTCATAATGACATTTATCTGAAAAGCTGAATCACTTGACCTATAATTTTGCTGACCATAGTTTCAAACTTTCAGCATATGAATGATTGGTTGTTTCCATGCTGTCAATTATGGCTAAACATTCCGATCTCTTTTTTGTATTTTTCACCATCTTTGTCCACTTATGTCAACTTCGTGAATTTCACAGCTTCTCTCAGTGGCAGAGTAGTTTCTTTAGATGCTGTGGGCAAGGGAAAATCTTCAGCAAAACATAACAAAGCGATAGATAAGAGTGAAAAGGACAGATATTTATTTAAGCGCAGAGATGAACCCGAGAACGTGAAAGGCCGTGGAGCTGGTGAGGTGCAAGCAGGTGGTTTCTCTACCCCACTGCCTTTCAATGTTGTAGACATCCCTCTAAGTGTTACTGACAGTGCAGCAAAGTGCACTTCTATTGAGGCACATACAGAGCAACCTCGAAAACAGAATGCTCCTGTTGTAGATAAATCACCTAGAAGTTTGCAGCAAGTTGAAAACTGTGTTGGTGAAATGCAACATATTCCACTTTCTGCGGAAGCTAAACCTCAGTCAGAAGGACCTAAAGTATCTTCACTTGGGGGGACAGAAAAGGTGAAGAGTCGTAAACGCCCTGTGACTTCTGAAACCAGTCAGCTGTTGGAGGAGGAGGAGAAGAAGAAAAAGAAAAAGAAGAAGAAAATTCCAGGCTTGAACACAAGCTTCTCAGAGAAGAAGGTAGTAGCTGGTGGTGGTGAAGAAAGTGTCGTGGTGAATCAGACATTAATCTTAGGGGGAGGTTCAAACCCAGTTTCTTTGGTGGACCCCAGGAGGGAAGTTGTTACTGAGAAGGGGAATCAGCGAAGCGAGCAGCGAGCTGTTTCCCTTGAAGCCACAGGGATAAAAAATGGGGAAGATCTTCCTCATCTGCTATGTGATTTGCAATCTCTCGCTCTTAATCCCTTTTACCACCTGGCCAGGGGGTGTCCTGCAACCGCAAGAACTGCCTTTTTGCGTTTCCGGTCTCTTGTTTATCAGAAGAGCTTAGGAAATGAATCACCTGATGAAAATGAATCTAATCAAGAGTCCCATTCCGGTAGATTATCAGCCGCTTCTGATGGTGCACCTGCTGAGATGAAGACACGTCCGCCACATAAGCCTTCTGTCTCAGGGCATGATGATGCAATGAGGGTTGAGCGAAAGCGTGCCCCATCAGATAGGCAGGAGGAGATTTCTGTCAAAAAGAAGAAGAAAATGAACGATTTGAGGGTATTGGCCGCTGAGAGAAAGGCAGGTTCCCAAAGAATTTCTGAAGTGCAACCAAAGAACGATGGGAAAAAAGTAGTGTCCAAGCCTGGTGGGGAAGAGTTGAGCAAGAGGAGGATGATAGAGCAGCATCCGTTGTCAGCAAAGGAGTTGTCCTCCGAGCCGACCATGCTGATCATGAAGTTCCCTCCTAAAGGGGCGCTCCCGTCAGTCCCTGAGCTCAAAGTAAAGTTTTCACGCTTTGGGGCTCTTGACCATTCTGCCACACGAGTCTACTGGAAGTCCTCTACATGCCGGCTTGTGTACCGCTACAAGAAGCATGCGGAGGCTGCACTGAGATACGCAGAGAGTACCACACATCTGTTTGGCAATGCGGACGTCAAATGTTCCCTCCGTGAAGCAGATGCACCACCGGAGACTGCCACCTTCAAGACTGTGGCTGTGCCTCCACCAAGAGAAGACAATTTTGCTTCTGCTGCCGTTGGTGGAGGAGGAGGCTTGCAGTTCAACAGAGACTCTGATAGGCTGCTGCCACATGCAGGAGGCAGAGTCACGCCCCAGCAGCAGCTGAAGTCATGCCTGAAAAGGCTGCCTCCAAGTGAAGAAACAGGGAATGGTGGTAATAATAGAGGGACTATCCCCCGTGTAAAATTTGATTTAGGGGGAGAAGATAGTAATAGAGCCGAGCTGTTGATTGATAGTAAGAACACCAAAACAACTGCTGCCCCATCTTCTGATACTACTACTACTACTACTAATATCAAAAATTTCTCAAAGGTCATACTTCCACCATCTCCTCAGTTGCACTCTCCTCCTGCGATTATTTCGACCACCACCACCATCACCACTCAATTTCATAATACACCAACGAATTTGCACTTCACAGAAATGACGCCCCATAGAAATGTCCATAATTTTAGTGCCCCATTTGCTGCCACCCCCACCATCAATGTGGATGTTTCCCAACAGATGCTAGGCCTTCTCGCGAAGTGCCATGAAGTGTTGACCAATTTGACAAACGTACTGGGTTACTCACCTTACCGGCCCTTGTGAGAGTTCTATCTGGTGGTCACGAATAAGTCCTTAGCCCCCCCTTTTTTGGTTGGAGATTTGAATGCCCAATTGAGATAGCCGTCTTTTCAGGCTGCCGCCCTTTCTGTGAATAGAAGAAATGTCCTGCCAATTATTGTATCCGCCCGAGCCTTGCCGTGCTATATCGGTCTTATCAATGCAATATTTTGTATTTTGAGTGCTTTCAAGAACTTGTAATGGTGAATTGGTGATAGGGGATAACGCCTTCCTTGCTTGCTTGTCTTTTCATACTTTTTTATTACTACGTGTTTATTATTAATTTCCCCTGAACGCGTTGTGCTTGAAGACGTAGTCTAGGACTCTCGGTACGGATCTTTTTCCATTTGGGCTTTACAAAACAAAACAATAAAAACTAAAGAAATGAACGACCAGTTTCTTCAACAAAAAACATGTGGTCCAAACGAAAAAATTACCTATAAAAGCGAGCTCCCATTTGTGGGCTAATTTGGTCACTCGACCAGACCAACCATATCATTATTTGGGCTGGACTCTGAATAGAAACACTGAGATGGTGTTGTCTAATTTGGACGGGGACTGTTCCCAACAGTGAAATGTGTTGGCACGATTGGCCCATTGTACTGTGTTGTCCAAATATATTAAAGTTATTTTCTTTAACAAATGAATTCATTTAGTTATTTACAATTTTACATAAACCATAGGGTTATCTTACTTATTTTACACGAGCTTATGGTAAGTACACCACTTATAAGTTATACGTGATCATTTCCACGTATGCCTTGTCAGCAAAACAGCCATGTCATATATGCCACATTATTCATCGCTTCTTCTATATCAGCGATTGCTTTTAACGTACCGGTAAGCGCATTGATCCACAAGGTCATATGATATTCTTTGGGAGTGTAGTGAGTATAAGTTCGTAAACATATAACCAAGAGATAAGAAAAAAAGACTTAGTAATTGTTGGTTTATTGTAAGGAGTAACTTATTAGTATGCAAACTTCAAATGCATAAAGTGCATTCAGATCATAAAAAAGTTCTTTGGTTGATTCAATGTGTACACTATTTTAATAAATAGTAATCGCTCTAGGTAAGATTAAAAAATCCCTAAAATGCACAAATAGGACTACATTTTTAACCCTCCTAAATAGGACTAAACATTGATTCCTACCACAAATGTTCCTAAGGGTATTAATTCATAATGAAATGTTTTAACTCATAATATAATCTTAAAAAATAAAAATAAAACGTAAAAAATGTTAAAAAATCGGAAAAAATAAAAAAATTTATAAAATTTATAAAAAAAATTGTTTTGATTTTTTTAAAAAATAGTAAAAACGCATAAAAAAATTTTAAAAAATATGCCAATAATTTTTTTTTAAAAAATATGCATATTTTTCGTAAAAGTGCCATTTTTTCAAAAATGCCAAGAAAATGGCATTAGTACTCTTCATAATGCCAAAATTTCATTAAATCTGTCATTGTTATGAGATTACTAAAAATGTTGGTAGATTTCAACCAATGATGGGAGCTAGTTGTGTTGGGAGTGGCAGAGCTGGCGGCGTTTTTTTTATGTTTTTAATTTTGTTTTTAATTTTTTTATATTTTTTTTAAAAATAGTTTTTTATTTTATAAATTTCTATTATTTTTATACCTTTTTTATTATTTTATATGAATTTATTAGTAATTAAAACATTTCAAAAGCTACAAGAGTATACTTGTCCAAACACACATAAATAGTCTCATTGGGTGGAATTTAAAACATGTAGTCCTATTTATGCTCTTGGGCCACTTTTTTTGTCCTATTTAGGTAATTAACTCTTTAACATATTTGAAATAGTTATCCATATTTGTTTTACCTTTTGTTGGCACAAAAGTATCAAGGGTAGTTGTACATACATAAATACATACACACATACATACATACATAAATTATATGTAGATACTAATTAAAATCTTTATGATTGATATCCTTTTCGCATAAATTTCTGAACCATGATCTTAGAAACTGAATCAATTGGCACGTAAAATCCCAGACCCTCAGTTGCCAATACTTTATTTGAACATTTACTCGTTGAAGTTACTTTCATAACACTGACACCTACAACTTCTCCATCTATATTCACAAGAGGTCCTCCAGAATTCCCCTGTACATAACAAAATATATACACCATTAGATTTCTTGTGGTGTTATCTACTACATACGTGAACCCCAAAGTCAAGCAAAATTTGAGATAAATGTTCTATATATACACTGTGCATAATTATGTTTATATCTTTTGAAACGTTGGATTCAACTATTAATTTTCACCTAGTTTAGAGCCCGTTTGGTAGCAAGAAAATCAGTTGATTTGGCTGATTCTGCTCAAATTTATGAAGTTCTGGCTGAAGTAACTGAATTGGCTGATTCTGTTGATTTAAGAAAACAAATAATTTTAAAATATATTTTATAAATAAAATAAAGAAAAAATTGTATGTAAAAATAGCTAAAATGGTCATCTACAGTAACTTCAACCTTACTTTTTCTGCTTATTACACAATTCAGCGTTCGAAAACAAAATTTACGTGTTTGGTGAAAAAGTTGGCTGATAAACCTGATAAGCCGATAAACGGTGTTACTAAACCGCCTCTATATTACAACGTATATTGATATACTTTCTTTGTGGTAACAAGCATGGCGAACATGATAAAGTTTACAGTGCGTTGCACTTTTGTGTAGGTTAGTCGTTGTGGTTAATAGGTGTAAACTTGTTTAATTAACCTGAAGAAGTTTAGCTAAATTTGATTAAATACGACAAGATATTATCACTGACCTTGAAGTTTGGCACATTATTGCCTAGACACCTACATTATTAAACATATGTTGGTTAAATAACCTGTAATACACTTTGAGAAAATTATACTCCCTCCGTTCTTTTTTAGTTGCAACGGTCAACATTTCACATTTGTCAATGCATGTCTTTGACCGTAATTATTTCTTAATTATGTTAGTAAAAAAATATTAAAAATCAGATTTTGAATACTTTGTAATGAGATGAATTGAACAATATTTTTTTAAAATAATAATTTTCATAAAATAATAGTCAAAGTAGAACATGTGAATAGTGTAAAATTCAACATGTTGCGATTAAAACGGAACAGAGATAGTACATTTTAGTCCTGTAACTTTTAATGGTGTCTATTTTTAGTCTCGTAACATTACTTATTTGAAGATTTGGTCCAACAACTAATTAATAAATTTATCTATGTTAAGGACCTTTCACTAAAATGAACACTTTCGGACGGAGATTTAAACGATGATGACGTTTTTCTAATATATTATTTGACGGAGCGTGTACTTTATGATGAAATAATCCTTGATATATGTATTAGTAACATGATCATATATATCTACATGTGAGTAAAGTAATAAGATACATAGCGGACACAATAATCGAAAGGTATGGGCTGAAAATAACTACATATCTTACTCTTAAAAGTACAAAAGTATATACTTGGTGGCTTGTAATAAAATGTGGGGTGTTCAAAATTATACTAACATTAAAATGTTACTCAATATAATATTATTTGATCTAACAATTGAAGAACTGTATTTTTTTGAAGGTAAATTATATGGTATCCTAAATGTACCATACCTTTGTCCACATGGACCAATAAGAATAATGCAGTTGAATTATTTAAATCTAAATTAAAAATGATATAATGATTTGGACCAATCAAGTGATTGGTAGGTACGGTACCCCAATTTTTAAATGGGTACCGGAGTTGTCACCTTTTTTGAATTACAACAAACTAGCAAATAGAATTCATAATAAGAAATATTGTATAAAAAACACAATATATAATTTATTACATCAATTTTATATTTATTTTTGCACTTTATTTTCAAGTTTTTGGGTGTTCAGGTGGGCACCCTTGGACCAAAGGGATCCACCATTGTATATACTCCCCCGTCCATAAATCTTGACCAAAGATGAATTTGATGTGGTATAATAAAGTAAAAACTGTGTGATTGAGATAGTGTGGAGGAGAGAAAAATAATTTTAGACACATACTCCCTCCGTCCCAAAATTATCTTCATAGTTACTATTCACACGGTCAACTCAAATTACTCTTAATCTTTTGTTTTATATATCAAATTTTTATCAAACTTAAATTTTCTTGATCAGCCTTTGTAGCGGATTTAATGTAGTTTCTAAATATGTAAATTTAATTTACTAAAAATAATCTTAGTGTGATCAGGGATCAAGTTTCTTTATCGTCAATCAAGCATCGTAAACCGAACTACGAAGATAAATATGGGACGGAGGGAGTATTTGTTACTTTGAATAGAAATGAAAAGTTTTTTTTAGATGGCAAAATAAGTGAGATTTAGCTAAGTTTTATGGGATAGACGGAGTACGAGATTGCAGAAATCTTGCAGGAATAAAGAATCTCACTTTAGAGATTCTCAAATGGAAGGAGAGATTATTAAATTGAATAGTCTCCTAAAATCCATCCACCAACATATTTTGAGTTATAATAACTTTAGTTATAAAAAACATTCAAAAAGTTGAAATGGATATTATTTAGAATTTAAATTTAGCTAAAATTTTGGATATTATTTTATATCTAAAACATGTGTTGGTGGATGATTTTTTTTGATACGCTTGTATCTATTTTAAATTCCTATTTGAAATGTTTGCTTTCATTGTTCACAATAAAGGTGGATGAGGTTCGGGTCTCGAGACCGAACCTGGTTTGACCAGTTTCTGAATTGAGACTGGGGTCGAAAATAAGGTTACATACGAGATCCGTGTCCCGAGTCAGTTTGTTTATTCACTTTTGGTCCATTTTAACATGTTTTGATCTGCTTACATCAATTCAGTCAATTTTCAAAATCATAATCATAAACCGAACTATCTAGAGTGAGGTCGATTTTGATGATTTTTATTTTATTCGGCTCAATTTCTTATGGAAAAAAAGGAAATTTTATTAATTGTCTAGTTAATTGAGTATAGTTATAGTATTAAAAGTTATGAGATTAAACTATACTTTTCTCAAAATATAAATAAGAAATTGTTTAAGCCTCATTGAAGGATAGGAAGGCAGGTAAAAACATACTTTTTATTGTACAAGAATGCAAGGAGGTGAATAATAATTTTTTCTAAGAGTTAATTATGCATACAGGCCTAAAAGTTGATCCATTTGCACAAATAGGACAAAAAAACTAAACTATGTTTCATAGGACTAATTATGTGTGTCTTGGGAAAATATACCCTTGTACCTATTGAAATGTTTTAATTCATAATAAAATCATAAAAATAATAAAAATGCAAAAAAATAACCGCCGCCTCTGCCGCCCCAGCACCACCTTCGATCATCGGAGAAAAAAATGCCACATGCATTAGGAATGCCATATTTATGGCAGATTAAATGAAAATTTTGGCATACTCAGAAAAAAATAACAATTTTTAGAAAAAATGACATTTTTTACACCAGTCGAATGTGGTAATGCAGGGAGGCAGTACAAGCGGTGTGAAAGGCGTTCATATTTTTTTAATGGATTTTTACTATTTTTTATTAATTTTTTTAAATTTTATTTTAATTTTTTTATAAATATTTTTTGTCCTACGATTTTTATTATTTTTTACGAATTTATTATGAATTAAAACATTTAATTATGACTTTTGACTATATTTTACTCATATTTAAAGGAAGGGTAAGAATGAAATGAAAAAATAGGTATATTTCCAAATAGTAGTAATATGATCCTATTTTGAAATAAAAGCATAACATGTCCTATTTTTTATTTTTGCGATAGTTTTACTTCAATTTGAGGTAATTTCAATTTTTCTAAATCAATATTTATCACAATTCTGAACCACAATTCTACGTGTATCATAGCCATTTTTTTATTTGAGAAAATCGGTAGGTTCAATCTTCCTAGTGCCACCGATCTTCACTAAATTCTCGTCTTTACTTGGTCTTCTCTTATATCTAGCTATTCCTCCCAATTATCTAAATTTATGCATGCTGCTATAACTCTTCACTAGCAAGTTTCTAGTAGATAAATCATACTCCCTCCGTCCCGCAATTAAGTTACCACTTTTATTTTTGGGCAGTCCCTAAATTAAGTTCACACTTCCTTACTTTTCTTATTTGACAAATTATCTACATCAAAACAGTGTCAAACAGTGCAAAACAGTGTCTAAACAGTGCAAAACAGTGTACTCCACAGTAAAGTCAAATTTATCTTCTTAATAAGTGTGAAGTCAAATCGGGAACTTAATTGGGGGACGGAGGGAGTATGTAATTTTAAAAATGAATCAATCTGAATAGGTGTAAAAATAATGTCAATTCCAAACAAAGGGGTGCTATGTTTTTTCAAATAAATTAAATTTCTCTTTTAGTAACCTTAAAATGTTCTTCCACTTTCATTTCTTCAAATGTTTAAGTGTTTAACATTGTTTAGTTTTAAAATGGGAATAGTAGATATTCATGCAAAAATGGGTATGAAAATAGTATTGGGCATTACCGGATTCACAGAACAATCAGCCTGTATATACTCTCTACTTATCCCAGGTAGTCCAATATCATTGCTTTTACGATCCACACAACTGCATTAAGTTAGCAAAAGAAGAATGTTTTCTCACATGAGTTTTAGTTTTTTAAGTGAATAGAATATGAGAAGCAAATGAGTACTATAGGATCAATTCTTCATTCACTCATTACCTGGCTTTGAATTCCCATCCTCGGGCTCGTTTAACTAAGAGTTATATAATTAAATGGAATTCATATTTATCGAAAAACTAATTAGTGATGAACATCCACTATTTAATACATCACTCTTTAGTCTTCAAATCAAGGTAGATTCCAGTGATGAAGCATACCACAATTCACTATGGAAATGTAGATCAACACTATTTTAAAATGGTGGATGGACATTAGGAGGTGCACCACATGAGGTTGCCAACATGTCGTTGAGTTAGTACACGGCGAGTTATGTTCTCTCCGATCAATGTCAAGAAATGTATCATTAAATTGAGCATTGAAATTAAGGCTTAAGATGTACTCCCTCCGTCCCGCAAAATAGTTCCCGATTTTCTTTTTGGGCCGTATCAAAAAATACTTCTCATTTCCCTTTTGGAAAATTCTGTGTGACTCACATTCATTTATCTTTTTCTTACGCAACCACAACCATACATTTCCATTTTATTCTCACTTTCTTAAATTCCGTTCCAAGTCAATGCGCGCGGGAACTATTTTATGGGACGGAACGAGTATTCATTTGGATATACTCCCTCCGTTCCTAAATAAACTTCCAACTTTCCTTTTTCATCCGTTCCAATTAAAACTTCCACTTTCCCTTTTTAGTAAAAAATTTGTGGTTCACAATATTTCTTACACATTTCTCTCTCATCTGCACAACTCTCCACCACACAATACCCACTATCTTAAACTCTGTGCCAAACCTATTTGGAAGTTTTAATAGGAACGAAGGTAGTAATTTTTTTATATAGGATCTAGTTTGTTTAAGTCTTATCGATTAAAGTTCGATACATGTTTATTTTATTATAACTATCATGTAAGTATGATGTCTAGTCTAAAACTGAAACAAGTCCAAATAAAAAGAGACAATTCTCCAAATAAGAGTATAACATTCAAAAATAGGAGTAGGTTTTTAGTATTCCCAAAAGATAAGTTTTTTAAGCTTGGACAAAATATCGTGTAGGAGCTACTTCTTCCTCCACCAGTCTGACAGTGTTGCCGCCATCACCAATGGACTGGCCCAATTATGCTATGGAACTAGTGGGACAATTAATTGTATTAATTAATTAATTAATTAGATTATGAGTATCAAGAGTAAAAATTATTGTTTAGTTTTAATTAGGGAAGATTTAACTTGGACTCCTATTTAGAAAAAAATGAGTATGTTTTACTCCTACTAAGGACAATTACTTAAAATAAAACGTCTCAAAAAGCACAAAAACGTGTTTCAGAATGTGTAGATATATCTTTTAGCATTCCACTAGAAATACCTTACAATGCCTAATGTAACGGAATTGTTTAGGAAACATGGAGAACCGATGGCTAGCACCCAGTCTCCAGGACGAAGCTTTGATGAAGTACCAAGTTTTGCATATGGAAATGGAGTTTCAGATTGTATCTTTAAAATAGCAATATCCAACTCGGAATCAACTATTTCCACTAAACCCTCAAAAGTTCCACCATTTTGTAATGTCACATAAATCTGCAAACAATCAATGAGCATTACACTTTTGTGACATTTCAGTAAGTTTTCAATATTACTGTGGTCCTTTGATTTGATTAGAAAGAAAAGGTGATTATTAAAAGGGTACTATGTGTTAATACCTACAAAGGCTACAATGCATATAACTAATTAATGTCTTAGTCACCCGCACGGGTAGTTCAGTTGGTCGAGTGGTGGGAGATTTGGAACAATGGACCAAGGTTCGAATCCCCGCAGCGACCGGGTGGAGGTCACAGAACCTGAAATAAGGCTGGACCTCTGGTACGCACGGGTGTATGAGCCTACTGTCATTCTGCTGACTGAGTCACCGTGACTAACCTCCTCACCATCCTGTCGGGTCGGGTGGGGGCTCCTGGGGTGGGAAATTCCACCTTCTTGGAACAATTAATGTCTTAGTCCAAAAGGTGGAATCTCTCACCCCAAGAGTCCCCCACCCCGACACGACAGGATGGTGGTGAGGTTAATCACGGTGACTCAGTCAGCAAATCGACGGTAGCTCAACTGGCAGATATGAGTGATACAAGGTGTAAGTCACAGGTTCGAATTGCGACAACTGCAATGAAGGATTACTATGTAAAAATACATAGAACTTCTGCAAGTACATGAGTCAGAGTTTCACTCATTATCTATTCTTTTAATTAACTTTCTGGCCGGTGCTGGGAGCCCTCAGGAATGAGGTGACATCTTTTTTATGGAGTACTAGTCAAAAATATCATTCTTGTAAAAGTAGATGTGAATGTGGAAATTAATGTGAGTGATATGCAAACCAAAGTTTATTTATGCATAGACGTTAGTTGTGTGTGAAGAGTTTTCTAACTTGATTTCTTGACATAAACAAAATGTGTGTATGACCAAACTAATTGTCTATATCTAATCTGACTCATATGCATAAAAAGTTGGTACAAGTGTTATTTTCCATTTGGTAAAATCAAAGTGATAGGTATGAAAGATGATTACCAAACCGGGCCTTTGGACGGGGCTCAATCCGGGAGAGCTATGTAACAAGACGTGTGCACAAGTTAATATGGTTCCATCTTTGTCTATGATTGTACCAGATCCTTTAGAACCTGACAAACGCAAGTCACGGAATCAATTTGAAGAAGTAATACTTCCTTCTGTTCCAAAATCAAATTCACACTTTTATTTCACACAAATTAAGGAAATAAATTTGAATTTACTGTAGAGTACACTGTTGTGACACTATTTGACACTGTTTGGCACTGTTTGACACTGTTTTGCACTGTTTTGATGTAGATAATTTGCCAAATAAGGAAAGGAGAAGAAGTGTGAAGTTTATTTTAGACCTACCCAAAAAGGAAAGTGTGAATTTCATTTGGGACCGGAGTAAAATGACGGATAAAACTACAAAAGGAAAATTCCCGAAATAGGAGTAAAAAACTTTGAAAATTCCAAAATAGGACAGTCATGTTTTTATTCCCAAAATAGGAGTAATTAATGTCAAGTTTGGAAAATACTGTCATGTTTAAAGTCTGGTATTGCCAAAACATGACAGTAATTAGTCTTATTTTGGGAATAAAAACATGATAGTCGTATTTTGGAATTTACAAACATTTTTAGTCCTATTTAGAGTAATTTCTCGATTACAAAAGGAGCATATACTTTTCATCCTGATCAGTCCATCTATTTTTTTTCTTCATCCATCTCCAAAAGTCCAATGAGACATGGAAATGAAACTTTATTGTGACACTATCACTACATGTATATATATCATTAATATTCTAAAAGAAGTAAGGTGTGATAAAGTGACACAATCGATCCTTGAGCCTTAAAAGTCTAAGAGAGATTTAAGTGTGAAAAGGTGTTACGATTTTTATTAAATATTTTACTTTTTAAACAAACTAATTTCATTTTCTCACAAGAATAATATAATTCCTTCTTCAGAAGTCAGTCTAGCGGGGATAGTTAAAGAGCCGACTAAAGCTTGTCCTAGCTAGCCATTGTGCATACCATAATAATCCCATTTTGCTGTTCTAAATGGCCTAACACAGCTTTTATTAATTCTTTGTGGAATCTTAATGGCTTTTTGAACATTGCATGGACCAAAATGGTAAGAAAAAGGAAGTCTACCAAATTGGTAAAGAAAAATACTCCGGTGACATATCGGTAAAAAAGAAGTTTTTCCCTCTGTAGACAAATTGATAATAATAAACTTCAGCGATAAATTGATAAAAGTTTTTGTAAATGAGTGTGAGAAACTTTTAATTTAGACTCCGACCTTAGAATTCTCTACATTTAATTAGTATTGTGATATTGACACTTTTAGTTTTTCCCTCTGTAGACAAATTGGAAGACTAAAAATGACAATTAGAGTATTTGAATGTTTGGCAATAAGCAGTTGGCTACAAGCGAAAGTCAACTCAACTAGCAAATTCTTTGACCAATCTCTTCCATTAGTGGTTTGAAGTAAAAACATCCTAAGAATTGGTGTATTTTTAGTAACTTAGGGCTTTTCAATTAGCTATTAAGATATAAATTGACCATTAAGAATATGAATTTAAAATTACATATATTTACAATTACTTTCTTTCTTTTATTTTTAATAAGTTTTTAAAATAATTTTAAAAATTATATTTACTTTTATTTTATAAAACTACTACAACTATTATATAACTACTACCAGTATTATTTTTAATATATTTACTACCATTGCATTTGTAATTCTCATTCTCGTTAATTAAATCCAACAACAAAGAGGAAAATTCCTATAACTTTACTTTGTATCCAAATCCCAAACTTTATAATATCAATCATTCCTTTGTGGATCAATTCGATATTTTTTACTCATATTTTGTTACTACATAGACACTTATATACTTGCAAGTTTAGCCTGATCACTTATTGATTTGTTTCATTCAACAAATGCATGAAATATTGAAACACAAATATCTCTTTTAATAAATCCTCTTTTCATGTCTATCTAGCTAGAACTTTTCAAATACGTAGTATATATTAACAAACATCATTTTGGGAAATAAAAAGTAGGTGTAAAATGTTACCGGAAATTGATAAAGTCACTACGGCAGGATTAACACTTGCAGCTGCATTGGCAATTGTATTTCGAGTGAGACACTTACATCCGGGGTAGTGTTTGGCACTATCATCACCACCATCAACCATTGAGGTTGTTTTTTTCTCTGTATCAAATGACGATGGTGGTGGTGGTGGTGGTGGTGGTGGCGGTGGAGGTGGTGATGTGTCAAAAGTTGTTCTTGAAACGAAAAATGGAAGAAACCAGCTGCCTGCATGCATTAAAATGGTAGAACACCAAATTGTTGATTAAAATATGTGAACTGAAAAGGATCATATTTGTAAAAACATATAATACAGACTCCAAATCTGAGTGTTAAGAACAGAACAAGCAATTTAAATGTGAAGTACTATTTCAATTTTAAAGATCAGTATATAGTAATAATGTACTCCCTACGTTATGTACTTAAGTCCCACTAAAATTGTCCCATACCATATTTGGTAAAGTTTGTGTGGTTCTAAATCATTCTTACTTTATTCTTACTTTATCAATTAATATCAACCACACAACCCCACTTTTCTTAATAATCGTGCCACCCTCTTCCGACCCAATATAAGAGGGACGGAGGTAGTAATATACATACTATTGTGTGAAGCTCCCTGGTGTGAAAATGCAGGGTAGAACAAGTCCTTGTCTTGCATATTACTCCATTTGCATCTCACCATATGTTGTGATGGAATGGGAATTGAAACTGAGATAAGACACAGGCTTCTCAAATTAATGAATTCATTAATCAATGCATTTAATGAAAAGGATCATGTTACATGTTCCACCATAAACTTATAGATTAGGCCAACAGTTTAAAACATTGTTAGAAATGCACCTTAAACTTATATATTATGTATCTGATCCTTCAGAAATCTAAATTTTAATGTGGTATATCATAACTCGTTAAACAACAATTCAAGCACAAATATAATGGGAAATAAAAAAAACTAAGTAAAAAATAATGTTATGGGGTTAAAGTATATGATTACTTGAATCATTATCATTGGAGGCGTAGTATATGAGTGAAGACCCTCCTACGATGGCTCCAACTACGACTCGAGTGACTGATTTATGATTGTTATTTGTGATTTTTCTCTGTAAGAAGAAACAAATATATTTTTAACATGGTTATTAGAGTTTCTACAAGTCAAAGAAATTAATCAAAAGACAAAGAATCACCAATATATTATCATACCATGAGGTGTATCATGGTTCTTACGCTTGAACAATGCCAATGTGACTTGAATGAGAGCTTCCTTTTGTACATATAGTTAGCCAACATCACATGTTATTCTTTGTAATTCCCCACAAGATACCAAATATTCCTTTTCTTTGTCATTTTTCAAATATGCTTTGTCGTTTCTTACAAGGCACCATTTATATAAACAAAATCTACTTTTTGACATATCTCCAATTCGAATCTTGGAAGAACATTTTCCATATACAGGTTGCCTCTCTTTATCTTTGCAAGTGGACCTTAATTTTCATCTCACAATTTTTATGTAGGATTTATATGGTTCTCAATTTTTTATGTTGCATTTTCAAAATTACTTTTAACCTACATTTCATCATTTTTTCCTATAAATCTGGTACTTGTAAATATCTAATTCACAAAACTTATCTACATATTTTTTGTTTTTTGTTTTTTGCAACGTCTATCTCCATTTATATGTAAACAAAATAATTATACTCTATATTGTCTTATGCCACTTAAAATGTATTTTTAAAAGTCATCCTCGGTAAGGGTCACTTGGATCAGAATCTTATCATTCTAATATAATAATCATCTAATAGTACAGTATCATTGCGTTCAACATGTTACTATTGAGTGTTGAAACATAACAATGTAATACAACAATTTTGCTATTTGTACACATCTTTATACACACTTTTATACTCACTACGCTACTATATATACAAAAAAAAACTCCCCTTTCTCTCCCTCTCTTCTACGGTTCCCCCCTCCCCATTCTCTCTTCTTCTTTCCTTTTTTCTTCTGTTTTCATCATCTTCATCACATTTATTTTTCTCACCTTCCATTATCATCATCTGGTGTCATCTTTAATCCACTTCACCATCTCCTACCTTTATCATTTTCATCTTCATCATGTTTCATCTTTCTCACTTCATCTTTCATTTTTAGATTCGCGGAGATGGATGATCGTCGAAAAACCAAATCGGAAATGAACAACCGTCAGAATTATTGTCTGTGTAACATATAAAAATTGTTTGTGACTCTCTAAAAGTTGATAAATTTTATTTGTATGAAGAAATAAAATTGAAAGACTATAATTAAAAATCATCGGAAACAAATCGGAGAAGAAAAATTGCCTGAAATATTATATGTGTCTTCTTATAAACTTGTCACTGGAGTTAGGCCATCGACAAAAAATTGTTTGTGCGCGGACATCGGTTTTGTACCTTTTTGCAAAGATGACATTGTGTGTGCCACATAAATCGATGTCTTTGCACAAACAAATTTGTTTACGACAGACAAAAAATGTTTGACACGGACAAAAAAGTGTCTCACACGTACAAAAGGATGTTCGCCACAGACAAAAGCATATTCAACTACACACATGCCTCAAGTGCCACCAACAAAAAATATACTAGAGACATTTATCACGTGTCACAGACAAAAAAATTGTTCGTACACAGACATCGGTTTCTGTACCATACACATTGTCATCTCTGCAAATAAAGCACAAAAAACCAAAGTGTGCGCACACAATTTTTTGTCGGTGGGCTAACTTCAAAGACACTTTTATAGATGACACTGACAATAATTCCGGTGACTTTTCATCTTCGATTTGTTTCCGGTGACTTTTAATTATAGTTTTCAGTTTTATTTCTCCCGACGTTGTTCATTTCTAATTTGATTTCCCAACGATCATCCTTCTACGACAAATCTAAAATTGAAAGATGGAGTTGGAAAGGTGAAAATGATGGAGATAAAAATGGTAAAGGTGGGAGATGGTGAAGGGGATTAAAGATGACACAAGATGATAAACATGGAAAGTGAGAAAAATGAATTTGATGAAGATGATGAAAATGGAAGAAAAAAGAGAGAAGAAGAAGAGAGAATGGAGAGGGGGCAACCGTAGGGGAGAGAGACGGAAAGGGAAGAAAAGGGGTATTTTTTGTATATATAGTAGGTACAAAGGTGTGTACAAATAGCAAAATTGATACTCCCGTAATAAAAAGCTGACATTTTCTAATAATATGCCCCATCGGACATCTATTGTCTAGAGCAACGTATATTTGAACATGCAACCGCAAAGTTTTTTGGTTTTTGGGACGTCCCTTAAAACTTTGTCATCTTTCTTTTTTGGGACGTCCCAAAAAACTTTGTCACTTTCTCTTTTAATCAATTATTTTGTGGTTTCTATTATTTCTCTCTCCTCTGCACAAACCTCAACCACATAGTTTTTACTTTGTTATTCTTCGTGTCGGTCAACTTTGGCAAAGTTTTAAGGGACGGAGGTAGAGTTGTAAACGAATCGAATCGAACCGAATACTTGATAATATTATTTGTATAATTATCGAATATTCGTATTCGTATTCGTTTAAAATTCGAATCTTATTTTGTATTCGTGTTCGATTCGTTTGATATATTTGAATCTTTTTCGAATCGAATTCGAATATTCGAATTCAAAAAACATTAAAGTTAATTTGTGAAAATAATTAAAATTATGATGTTAGTTTGCCCCTTTTAACTAATTTTCATATTACATATTTTATAAGAAACAAAATTCATTTATAGAAGTCACTTCAAATTTAATATCAATATAGATAAATCAACGGAGAATTTTAATGGTAAATTAAGCTATTTTGACCTGGTAAAGTAAGAATTTTTAAATTAAAATATGCAAAATATTTACATGAATATTTTGTTATTAATATTTTTACATTGAACTATATGTATTCATAAGAAGTAGTATATATTGTATGAATATATAAATATATAAACACATAAATATATATATAATCCGAATATATTCGAATATTATTCGAATCGAATATCATAGTATTTGTATTCGTATTCGTAAAGTATTCGAATCAAAAAATAGATTTGTATTCATATTCGTATTCTACTTACTCGAATTCGAATCGGCATTTTCGAATTCGAATCACGAATCGAATCAAACCTAGACGGAGGTAGTATTTAAAACCTACTACTTCCATTCTAATTAAGTTTAGAGTTAAACTTTCACAGTCTTTAACTCTTTAACTGTTAATACTCGGGGTTCCATCTTAAAAGGTCAATCTGATTGGAAGAGTAGGTCAAAGTCTTATATAGTGTATTGTTGTTTTATATTTTTCTGGTGTGGGACAAATACTTTAACGCGCCCCCAGACTTAAAAATATCGGAGTGTATAAATTGGGCAAATAGACCCTTAACAAGTTACCCTTAAGCATGGATGGTGAACAAGCAATCAAACCACAATCGGATTTGACTCTGATAGCATGTTAAAACCCGGGGTTCCATCCTAAAAGGTAACCTGATCGTAAGAGTAACTCAAAGTCTTATATAGTGTTTTATTGTTTCATAGTTTTCCGGTGTGGGACAAATACTTTAACATTAACATCGACGTGTGACCATTAACATACAGACTATAAAAATGTACACTTACAAAACTTATAACAATAACAATAACAATAACAATAACAATAACAATAACAATAACAATAACAATAACAATAACAATAACAATAACAATAACAATAACAATAACAATAACAATAACAATAACAATAACAATAACAATAACAATAACAATAACAAGAACAAGAACAAGAACAAGAACAACAACATTACCCCACAAACGCAAAGGCTCCCACTTATGATGAGATAAGGGAGTCAGATGTACACAGTCTTACCTCTACACTAAAAGCATAGAGAAATTGTTTTTGGATAACCCATGATGAAAATCTTGACAAAAAATGCATACACATGGCTGTAGATGAGGCTGTGCAAGCTGGGCTACTGCACAGGGCCTCCAAAAATAGCAAGCCCATTTTTTAAAAAATTTAAATAGTATATATATACGATAGTATAAAGTAGAGAAATATTCAGGTCCGGAATTACGGACCAGAACCGCCGTCCGGACAGCGGTGTTTTAACGTCTTCCCGGTCGAAATTTTTGATGAAATTTTTATGCAATGTTCATCATCAAATATAGTTTATCTACGAAAAATTCAGCTAAATATTCAATCGGGAAGGTCGTCAAATAATTTTTGGAAGTTAACTGCGTTTTATATGTATATTCCGACGCAGTTATCTATCAAAAATCATATGACGGCCTACCCGATTGAATTTTTAGCTTATAGTTTTTGTGGATAAACTAGACTTGATGAGAAACATGCCATAAAAATTTCATCAAAAAATTTCAGCGGGAAAGGCCCCAAACGCCACCGTCTAGACGGCAGTTACGATCAGGAATTCCTAATCGGAAGAGTACTCTATAAAGTAATAGTTTAAATTATTAATAGGAGCCCATTTGCATTTTTGAAACACCTTTATACACCGAACGGCCCAACTCCAAATAAAAGCAAACCATATGTCTACACATTAGATAGATGCATTTTATTTAATAAAAGGCCTCATTTGTGTGATTCGCACCGGGTCTCTTAATGTGTCAAGTCGACCCTGTACATACACGCCACGCCACATTCTTTTTTACACCATTTAGACGGAAACCCTCATTGGAAAAAACATGCTCCACTTTGTAAAAAATGAACCTCATGTCCCTATTGTAAAATGTGCACAATCACAAGTACATTTTTTGTACTTATCCCTAAAAATTATGTTTGTATTTTATGAGTGTTTCATTCTGTCATTCGATCACGCGATCACACATATTTATATATGTGGGTGTGTATACACACTATATATATTATTAATTCTCCATGAAAAGCTATTCAAGAAAATGTGTATTTTTTATATCTCACTTGCATGCCTAGTGTTAGGAGCTAGGCTGGCGCTGGATTAGCATACTGCATAGTGATTATTACAAATAATAATCGTGACCAACGGAATAATTAAGATAAACTAATTAGTAGTAACCTGTCCCCAGCTTTTCTCACCATACACACTCTTTCTGTCATCTAAACATAATGTATATGAAAATCTTTCCGTTTGAGTGTGTATTTTTCTTTTCTTTTTTGTTTACTTTGATTTATTCAATTACAATAAAATTGAATGATTTCCTTTCATTATAATAAA